AATGGATGCAAATTTTTATGTTACAATATTAGAGCAACACCTTGCAGAAATAAGAGAACTGTTGGGAAGCAGATGGCGCTTCCAACAGGATAATGATCCTAAGCATACTTCGCGTACTGCAAAGGACTTTCTCCAAAACAATGTTCCAATGGTTTTGGACTGGCTCTCCAACAGTCCTGACCTTAATCCTATTGAAAACCTTTGGAACATTGTTAAAACAAATGTGGAAAGGCGTAAACCAAACAACATTAAGGAATTGGAACAGTTTATGGCTGAAGAGTGGAACAACATTCCAAATACTGTCCTAATTAATTTAGTAGATTCGATGAAGTGTCGATGTGAACTAATTATAGAAAATAATGGTGATTGCATCCCATATTAAATAATAAATCAATAATCGGCACCTTTTAAGCTTTCAAATAAAGTCTAAATTATATTATTTGGAGCAATATGTGATGAGTTAGAAAGAAATTTTTTGTGCCATTTTTTTGAACACCACTGTATATTAATATACATCAATTGTTTATCAGGAAAATAAAAAGCAATCTCATATAAAATTACTCGTTTATTAGAAGAAACACCATTAGACCATATAATATAACTACAAACTAAAACCTCATAAACTTAGCAAAAATCAAGTGCTATCTAAATTTTGTGCTATGTGTTCAATATAGATATGCTTACTCAGTAATTGGAACTGTACATACAGTATTATGTCATTGACATCAACTTTTCAATACAAGTGCTAAGCTAAGCCTTATACACTTAGCTTAAGCAATTCTTAGCATGTTATTTCAATAAAACATATCAACCATATGTCATAATTTAACATCATGTATTTATTTGCATATTTATATTGATTGAATGTTCATACAGTCAATATCCCAACTTGCACAATTATCATTATAATATAATAATAATGCAAACAAGTTAGTTAATTTTAGTCACCAAAAATACTTCCCAATCTACCCAGCCAAAGTTGTTTGAATCAAACCTTATGGCAGTTCTGTATGCATCTCGCTTAGCACAAGCACCCATCTTAGTTCTTCCATCACCAAAAAACAAGTCTGTATTACCAAAACAAGGATAATAATCACTACATTCCTTAATTGCATGCTCATGATTGACAACAGACCTCATTATGCTATTTTCAAGTTTACCTTTGTCTAATGAAAATATAAAACTTTCTGTAGTTGAAACCCAGACTGGATATGGAGTATATCTCAAAAGACCATATGCAGCTTTCCAGGCTATTGGATTATATCCACCAAGGATTTCTCCTGTATACCCCACTTTTCCAACAGCTACTGTAGGTCCTTTCCCAGCACACATTTTTCGAAAATTTTCAAGAGCACCACCATCCTTGCTGTGTCTATAAAGTAAAGTCAGCTTATGAAAACTATTATTTCTTCCATATGCTCTTTGACCTCTTTGACTTGACTCCATAATCTTCTGTGAAATCCATATTGCTTGTTGTGTATTAAGAATCACTGAGTCAATGTCTGAGTTAACATCAACTTTGTGCTCTTCATGAGCAACATTTTCATTAAGCAAATCATTATAAGTTGCCTGACGTTTCCTTGGTGCCAAAACGGTAAATTTTGGTCTGTAGTCCTTGTTAAGGTGATAAAACATTAGGTCATGACGCAATGACTTTGTTAATAATTCATCATAGGGAGCAATTTGCTTTTGAAAATCATCTGATGAAATATTGAAAAATCTTATATGAGGAATACAATCAGCTACAATTGGTCTGACTTTTGAGAAATCTTCAGGTGACCAACTACTTGGTTCATTTACAAGTCCTGGAACTTGGTTGGTAGCCCATTCTACTACTGATGACCAAATGTCAATTTCTTCCATGTTCAGCTTGTCATTTTTGAGAAGAGTAATCAGGGTCTCTTTTTGTAGACTCATTATACTGTCAGATTTGAAAACAATCTCTGGTGATGATACAATAATGTTGTTGCAATAATCCAAAAGGTTTGATAGATTTGAAGATGAGGCACATTTGTGGATTGCAAGAAGATTGTGCTCCATCCATTCTTTCTGATGGTTGATCAAATGGTCTCCAATTGCGGCAACAAATTTATCTAATTCGAATCTGCAAGAAACATCCAAAAGGCTGATCCAATCTATAACTTCTCCTGGACTAAAGTTCACTTTTCCCATGTAAATGAATCTATGGGCACAAGTAAATTTATGACAATCAGTTGGGCTAGTAACTAATAAGAAATGACTGTATTAGCTAGTCTTGGTTAAACAGACATTTACCTGAGCAAAAGCTCAAAAGTTTCAGACGTTACATCTTCAAATGCCATAACCGTCTGTTGAAAGTCTCCTGTACTTTCAGCTATCACCCGCTCAAAATACGTGCTTCTCGTACACAATACCACTGCATGAGCAAGAAAAATTTTGTTGGCTGGCTCTTTGCCAACGTTGATCGAAACATCTGTATATTTGTTACTTTCATAAAGCTTCTCGTAATCGGATGAAAGATCCGAAGACAAATCAATTGTGTTGATTAATGCAGTCATGTTAATGTTGTTTCGCCTGGCTCATCAGATGTGTGTAACATTTTTATGCATAAGATCACATGAGCGCCTGTTACTATAATTAGGTAATCGACATAATATAAATTCTCACGGCCGATAGAAAATAAAAATAGTACCTATAATATTGTACCTATGCACAAATTTTATATGTGTTTTCGTTTATATTCTACATTAACAGATTATAATTTTATGCAGCTACCATAATAGAAAGCTATTACGCTATAACATCAATCTGCAGCTTATACCCATTCAAGTTTCGTGATGGTTTCCGCATAATTTGTACTTTACAACATCATTGGTATGCGTACTAAGCGTTGCCGCAATTATGATACCCGAAATTTTCTTCTTCATGCGTATAGATGGTTCAGTCTCTGGTACTCGGCAAGCAAAGTATTCGGCATACTTTTTAATGGTACTATTACAGCTCTATTGTTCTCAGACCAGAGTGTTTGGTTATAAATAATTGCGTACCAGATGCCGCTTGCTATTTTTTTCGAAAGAGTCACCATGTTAAATTTTTTCTTGCATCTGCCTAACCATTATAAAGTGTTAAATTAGTGGTTAGTATTAGTATGCGTAAGCCTTACTGACTCTAATTTTTAATGTTATAGTCGATAAACGCGATGATGAGTAATGCAAATATTGGAATTTGGATAATGACGTAATGGTTATGCTCAGAGCTTTTCATTAAACAAAAATAATGTTGCCATTTTGCTTCAACTGGTTATTGTATTGCAGCCTAAATCATCAAAATTGGTCTTATTTTATAATCACCAATAGCAATTGTGGTGGTGAAGTAGTCTATTATAATATTGCATTTCCAAAATTGCGATAAGTTGTACAAGATCAATTGATACAGAGTAAACAGTATCTTTCGCGCGTTTACACGTAGTCCCACTGAAGTACAAACAATGCAGCTGATAAATAAAGTTATTGTATCCGATCAATAATAAATGTTTCATTATAAATATTAAATAACCCTTTTTCACATAATTATAAAACATTGCCAGGGTTGAATGGATTTCAAACTGGCATACAGCATCTCTTGACATGGCAAGTTTGCCCACCATAATTTCCTTTTAAAGTAAACTTGTTATTGTTATCTTAAGCGCGTTGCCATCTTATCACAGATGAAAATAATCCTATCTTGGTAAGCAAACGATGCAATAAAATCTCAACAACCATAACGTTGCTTAGTAGCAGAATTTATTGTCTTTTAATTAAAATACATGTCTGCCCTATTTTAACTGTAATAGTAAAACTTTTCGCCCATCATACCCGTCAATCTATTTATAATATGTTGTGCTCGTTCAATAATATAACAGATTAAAGTAATTCATTAAACATGACCTATTTTCATTTATGATTGTAACGTAATGCCATTTTGTTCCAAAAACTTGTTGACTGTGTTTTCATAGACTTCTCTTTTGTCGACCCAATGCTTTACATGCTCAGTGTTTTCAAACTCCATTTCATCTGTAACGTATCCCATGTCAGCACTCATTTTTGCTGTTTTTCTTACGAACGTATACGGTACCAGAGCATCTTTCTTTGAATATAGCAACAGCCTCGGACAGTTTGTTGCCTTTTCATACAATAATGCGTGAACAATATACGGGACAAGTGACTTCTGGCGAATAATAGCCAGATATAGAGTAACCCATGGCGTGGTCAGCAACATAATACTGGTGCTAATGAGAGCGGTTAATAACTTTTTTATAGGATTCGTCTGAGTAGCAGTGAATAGGCGATAGAAGCGAAAAACATTCGGTGCGCCCGGAAGAGAATCAAGAATTATGGCCGAGAAACAAAACGGCAAGTTGTTGGCTTTTAGCATCTGGATCATACCGGCAAAACCCCCACCACCACCGTTTGAAAACACATGAGCGATGACTTTCGGCCTACGCCGCGTATTAACCACAGACGTGGTTTCACTCGCGGTCGATTCGTTGTTGTCATCAAATACTTTCCATTCATGCAAATACGGAATAAACCCTTCACACAATGTCTCTGCCTTGTACGGAAAGTAAACATAAGGAAAGTGTGAGGCAGTATAATATAAAATGTGATAATTTCCTTTCTTACGCCAGAACGATGCGATTTTAGAAAGGTGTTTTAATTGGCCGTTTGTCCATCCAAACATAATAACAATGTCCGGAACAGATGTTGTCGCTGCACATCGTTCCACGTAAAGTGTTGTGGACGGTTTGATTTGGGTGATTGTAGACGCCATCGAGTCAGCCGAGCGGGTTATTAATTAACGAGAAAAACCCAGCTCAAAGGAGACGCCGCTTATAAAGGCGAAAACTAAAATTTATCCGACCCGCCCTGTTTGTAATACCATCCGGATAATCAAAACTCCGATGATGTTATGCACGTGTACAGTTCGACAGTTGGGTGATACGAATTATTGACATAACGATAACAACAAGCAACCCAAAAGAGGCATTTATATTGAAAAGTTGTAGTTGCGACAATCGGAAAACTCTACCGAGTTTGCCGATATCTAATCTTTAATTTGTTTGCTGGCTCTGGATGCAAACATGTTTGCTGATATAGTATAAACTTGCACATTAAAAAGTCAAGATTATCCGGGAAAAACATTGAAGCTCATGAAATATTAAGGAAGCAAGCCAATAAAGTACTGGTTTATATCAAATTCAGGTTTTCACCATACACCGCGAGTCAATTGATGTCGACGAACCATATCGTATAGCATGTCCAAGCTGAGTTGGGCAATTGACAAATTGCCTGCTTGCTATGGGCACAAAGCATTGTCGAGTACTTTGATTCTTTCCCCAATGATAATAGTGTCAATAAAATGCTTTTAGAAGGATTTCCTAGTCGAGGGTTAAAGTTGAGCTGTACAACATATTTTTAAGTTATGAAACAAATTTTGAAAAGGTTTGTAATACGTATAAGGAAACGTTTGTTTCAAATAAAAAATTTAGCAAACAAATGTAAGACTTGAAGTATGAACGTAATAAAACCGAATTCAGAATTAGAAAATATATAAAGAGTACCGCAAAAAAGAAAGATACACTCGAAAAGCGTGACTGACCTTTAAATATTTCGATACAGTGTTAAGCATGACGTATTCTTTTAAACCTTCTGCTACTATGCCTCAAAACGTCAACTTTTACCATTTATGGAAAAGAAGAAGAGATTACCAAAAAACCAACGACTTTTTGATTGCAATTCCGAATAGCAAAATTAATATGCTGGGAGCAACTTATGAGAAAATATACTCTGGAATCAACATTACATAAATCTGAATTATACATTATTCGTCCGAGTAACTGATATTGGTAAATTAACAAATAGATATTTGAGCATTAGCATATATAAATATCAGTTTCCCTAATAGTACTTCAAGCAAATAACGTTACAGTTGACGATGCTGTAAAATATTGTTACAGACTTTCATTGATTGAGATAATTAATTAATACGTAAGATAAGTTTAAGCATGCGGTAACAAATTTATTGGATAATATGTTACGCTGTTGAATTTGATTCGTTTACACCAACATCATCCCAGTAACGTTGGCGAGATAATTGGTGTTAAACGTGGACGAGTGAGACAAGAGCACTCGAGTTGCGTAATAATATCCCATTTGTTCGAACAGCGTTAATAATTCAAAAAACGGAATATCTCAAATCTTGTCTATAAACTCAAGTTTTTACCGAATAATGTTGGAGAATACTTCCCCGCGTATTGAATTTGTGACGAGAAAAAAATTATCTGCTAAACCTATGCAGAGAGTCTTAACACAATTACCTGATTAACGTTTTGATACTTTTAGCGATTAAGATCGAAGCGCCTAGCTTTAACATGTGTCTCGTATACTGTATATATATATTCAGACTTATTCATAATTCACTAAACGCATTTCTTGACACATGAAGCGCGCGTCTAATCTATGAAACGTAGATTCAGTTGGATACTGTAAATTGTGTTAAACTGGGGAAAGTTGGCTAATGCATTTGTTCCCAATTCGTTTATAATAATAGTGGACTTAGCCAGTATTGGTAAACAGGATCCATATTTTAATGCGTTACTTGCATCCAACCCGGATTTCACATAAACCTGATTCCCATGCCATGCAGTTTATTACGTACGTAGATGACAGTTTGCGTAAATAATCATGGGGTAGAGTTAGAGGGGGGGGGATCAATAGGTTTTAAATCATAAAAGTTTCCGTTAATAATAGCCTTCCGTCTTTCCAAAGTACTTTTTCATTTGTTTCGGAATTTGCTTTCTCACGGAACAAACGATTCTTTTCTGATTATGAAATATAATAATCAAACTTGCGATAACAATATACCTTTGTGAGATCGCTACTTGCCTGGTATTTACTAGTTCGGTTTTTCTCTAATAATTGATTAACGAACATGAAAACAATCCACTTTTCCCCCTGCATCAAATAAAGCTACAAATGGACATTAATGTTATCGTTCTGTTTTATTGGATGAAAGAGACATCAAGTTTCGAGTAAAGTAAATAAAACGTGAAAAAATTTGACATAGTCAGGTCTATATATAAATATAGCCGAGGCTTTTTTAGCAAAAGTACACATGTCTTGTTCGATTTGCATCCTAGCTCCAAGAATACACCTCAAATCTATCGGTGAGGGATTATTTTGCAAATATTTACTGTTGTTCAACCTACAGTATTACTATAATGATTAGCCTTATTAGGTTGGTTGTTCTCGAATCTAGATAAAACGAAGGAATGGGCGATTATTAGTAGTCCGTGCATTTTTCTCTTGTATCAACAGCTGAATTGGTTCAAAACTTTCCAAGGTTAACTCATGTAGGGGGGAGGAGGGGTAAGAAGGGGGTGGGGTTGGGGGTGAGGACTGCAGCGCAGTAAGTGGGTTATGCATTGTTCAATATCATACCAGGAATCGATTGAAGGGAACTGATTCCAAAGGTATGCAGACTGGTACGGGATCTACACTACTTTCGTTATCAGTTGACGGTTTATGAAATAGTATCATGAGAGATTTACCTAGTGCCAGTTGGGTTGCGTTACCTGCACTGCGTTAGCTGCGTTACCCCAGCCAACAAACGAAACGCAGTCAGATATGTAAAATTGATAAGATCGTAGCATCATCGGTCAACGTCATTCACATGTGAAGTAAATGATTAATTTGGCTAGTCTTGTTCGATGCGCCCAATGATGCACAACGCAGCGCAGCATGTCTATGAATAAGGTGACAATCTGTTCTCGCCACACGCAGATAACTGTGCCCAATGCAACATTTATAATTGCGCCACTGGTTCGTGCAATCCGAACCTCTCGGCATTCTGGCAATCCCCTAATATGTGCAGTAAAAAAAAAAAAAGTATAATAGAAAAGGAAACTATTAATGTCAACAGTCCAAATAGCCGTAATTAAATGATGCATTCCAAAAATTCCGAAATCCGCCATGGAACTTTTTTTGGGCCAGTCTCGGACGACACTGCTATTAATACAATCGTCTATTTAGTTAGTATTGAATTTCATTGTCATTGCCCGTTTCCCCCGAGTATCACATCACATAGTTCCCATTCATTACATTAATATATTTGTGTCCAATTAGTGCGAATGCGTTGGATGCTAAACCCTTTCATTCTTTATTTAGTCGTAAAACCATGTAACATGGCTATTTATATGCTTGGTGTACTCACAAAAATGTCATAATTAGCTTTCATGATAAGGTCGTAAACAATTACTAATATTATATAAATACTCTGTTAGAACTACCGTAATTACTATATTTGTATTTTAATACTCATATCTGTATAATAAAAATATTAATATAACTTTAGTGCTACTGACGTCACGAACAGCGGGTTATACACAATATACAATGTATTACATTCAGTACTCATTGCTACACCAAACATCCCCTCCCCTCCATCAAAAGAACAAGGGAGGTCCTGTCTCTGTTCACCACCTTTTTCTGGCTTGTTCTCGCCATCTCGGTCAAAAAAAAAAAGAACCTTATATCTTTTATTTTATTTAATTAAACGAAAAACATCTAAGTTCCCTATGTTTCATATTTCTAACTATAAAACTCTTATTTAACTTGACGAAATCGACTTTTTTATTTTTCGCCTTCGTATATTTATAATCCAAAAAACTGTAAAAATATATATCGCATTCTTCGACACATTCATCATTCGTTACTATAATACTTCGACAGTATACTTTCGATATCATTAAATATTAATAACAAACCGCTGACAAGGGCGCTGGACGGTTCCCCTCCACACTACACCATCTTGAAATCACAGAGACTTGCAAACGTCTCCCAATCCAACTCACTTTATACTTTCACTTGACAACGTCTAATTATCGTAATATTTTATACGACTACGTTCAGTTTCCTTGCATAATTAAAAAAAGAATACACTCATAACAAATCTAAAAAACAAATTCGCCAAGTACAAAAAAGCAAGCGCACTCGAAACGCTCAAACTCCTCTCAAGCGTTATAATACACATGGCAGAAACACAATTTGAAGAACGACCGCAGGAATTCCATTCGAAATACTTTGTCGACTCGCGCACCCCCTTCTCCGCAGAAACTTTAAAACCTTCAAAGCTACACGACGTAAAACTACAGAGCTTTTCAGAAAAACAGAAATCACTTTCTCTAAACAAATTCATCAAACCCGTTCTCCAGACACCGGAAGATAAAATGGAAAAGGTTGAAGATAACACTACAATACCAGACGTCGAGAGTTTACTCCTCGATCCATTGGCTGATGAGAACATAGTTGCCAATCACAGGAAATTGACGGAAGAAGAAAAGACAACAAAACTTCGAAAGATTTTCTCTTTTTCTTGCAGTAATGGCAATTTGGAAAAAGTGGTTAACGTGCTGAATAATGTGAGGAGTTATATCGATATAGATGCGCAGGATGAGGATGGGATCACACCTTTGATATACGCTGCTTGCTTTGGTCATGAGAAGATTGCTGGCACGCTTTTGGAGGGCGGTGCTAAAGTAGACGTTACGGATAAAAGTAAGTAATCAGAAAGGGGAGAGAGGGGGAGAGGGGGAGACGGAGAGAGGGGGAGGGAGGGGGAGAGAGACAAGCGAGGGTCTGTCCGCAGGAAAACGGGGGGGTGTTCATAGAGAATTTGGTGAAGGTGTTTGAGAAGAGTTTTTTGACAGGTCATTTGATTGCAGTTAAATATACATATACATGTACATACATATACATAACATACCCATATCCATATATTTATAGACAAGATGGTCGCTTGAGCCAATTAAACTTATCGCACATCAACCTTTCTTACTTACTTAATTTTTTTCATTTACAGACGGCTGGACCCCTTTAATGTGGGCGACCAACAACAACCACTCAGCCGTAGTAACTCTTCTACTGGATTATGGTGCTGATGCAGGAATGAAATCGACCAAAGGCCACACTGTCTTTGACTTTGTCCCACCAGACAACCACAAGATAGCGGAAATTTTTATCCACAACCCGCAGCGCGACAGTTGGGCTAGTTGCAGCAGCATGAACAGATTATCTATGAAATTGGAAGATGAATGGTGCATGATTGGCGACAACGACAACAGACTCGACTCGCTCGCGGCAGCAGACATAAAGAGGAGAATGTTGATGGAGAGTGTTGCATTGAATCTAGATGTAGATATAGAATCTTGTGGTCTTGACGAACGTGAACCGCAAGAGGAGGATGGAGAGGTGCAAGAGTTTGTTTGGGACAATTGTTTGCCGGATCAAATGTTTGTTTTCTCGGATGAAGACATAGCGCATATTCTCAACACGGTCGTTTTTAATATTCAACCGAGCAGATCAAAGAAGCAGAAATCAGTGCCGGCAAACGTGATTTTCCTTAGTGCAAGATTTGCCCATTATTTCAGCAGTCAGGAGATTTTGGAGACTTTATTAGATGATGCTGTCGATGCTATTGAGACAGTTGTCAAAGTACGTATCACGGAACTAGTTGTGTCGGAATTGAGCTAAAAAGACCCAACCGTATAAGGATTTACATATTTACTGACTTTGTCTTTTTTATTTTCAAACATAGGGACGACCCGATGACATGAGTCTCCAATCTTTCTGGATTTCAAATTGCACTCTCCTTCTCTACTATCTCAAGAAAGATAAAGGTCTTGCTATCGCTAGCTACAATAACCAAGGTCGCATCGCCAACCTCTTGCAAGAAATTTACTTTTTACTAATCCGTGATGCTGAACGTCGATTGGAAAGAATACTCGAAGCAGCCATGATCGAATTTGAAACCATTCCTCTAGGAGACGTCCGATTCGAGGGTGAGTGGAGAATCCTCAGAAGCCTGACTAGAAGATCGGTGGCTCCGACGACTTCTGACTACTCGACAAAGCTAAAGAGGACAAGTTCGACAAGCAGAATATCATCACTTCGATCTTCCACCGCGTCATCGCGACGAGCGGCTCCTCCCTCACCAACGAACATTACGGCTTTGCTATCAGCCACGATGCTCATTCTGCAAGCTTACGACATTCATCCGACTATTATTGAACAAGTGTTTTCGCAACTATATTATTTTATTACTTGTGAAATATTCAACAAGATTCTTGCAAAGAAGAAGTACATATGTCGCTCACGAGCAATGCAAGTTCGATTAAATATTTCGGTTCTGGAAGACTGGGTCCGAACGAATAATCTCCCAGCTAGTACCACATCCCACTTCCAACCACTAATACAGTTGCTACAACTTCTTCAATGCTGGTCGCAGATGACAGACTTTACCGTGATGGTTTCAACGACAAATGAACTCAAGCTGATCAATCCGGCTCAGCTGAAACGAGTGCTAAAGAATTACAGATACGAAGTCAAGGAACCGAGATTGCCAGAGGAGTGCCAACAATACATACTCCAATTAGAAGAAGATACCGAACGACGACGAAAACGGTATTCGATGGACAGTATGAGAAGCAATCGCAGCGATTCTAGCAGCATCATACATTTATCGACCACGACTCCAGCATCAGCTAATGGCGCAGCTACTACTTGGGACGAAGATGAGGAATTTGGCGAACAGAAAGATAGCGAAGCTTTATTAACGCTCGCACTGCCCACCAGTGCAGAAATGCTTTCCAATTTCGGAGGAAAAGAAAAAGAGAATGAATTTATACCAGTCATAACAGATGAGTGGATGGAAAAATTAGATATTGGAATGAGAACTGGGACGGGAAGTATCGTAGAGCAGTTGACTTCACAATGGGAGGCAGAGTATAGTTTCGAAGATGAAGAAGAAGAAGAGGAGGACGACGAGCGGATGTTTAATTCTGAACAGACCGTGACAATTGAAGCGATTTAATTTATTTTTTACTTTTTCGTTAGTCTTATCCTCTTCCTCTGATTACTTTCGATTGGTATTTAGTATTTTCTTTCTTTTTTATTAATGTGTAAAGAACTTGTATTAAGATTCCTCCTATATAGAACCTTATCTTTTGATGTCGCATTTTCGGTTTCCTATTACTTTATGAGCAAAAAAATTTTTTTTTTCATTTTGTTTTTACGATTTTTTTTTGATATCAAAGGAACTTCTATTTTATTTTCATTACGACAGACTGGGTAGAAATTTTAGGGTATTTTTCGGCTTTTTTTTTTCTTTTTTTTTGTGTTATTTACTGGATTTTGTTTTCCGGTGATTCAGAAAATATGTAGTAAAAATTTGGTGGTAAAAGTCTGTTTCCTATGTGTAAAGATTTCCAAACCAAACAAGTAAAATTTTAAAGCAACCCAAAGAAATCCTAATTCTGCACTGTATATCATATGACTTGCTCAATATCATCTGCTCGAGTTACACATAGCACTCACCCGTGACATATGTAGTCGCAAGTCAATGGAGAAAAAATCTCCATTCTTGAAATGCATGATGCAAATTCTGCATGCAGTTCTGACAATGTGCACATTTCGTATTCTTTTTTTTTTTTTCATGTGAAGTGGGTAGTAGGTAGTGGGCAACACACAAAGACTCTGTTCGAGGTTTTAGAATAATTGCCACGAAATTTTTTCTGTGACGGCCACTCCCCCTTTTTAGGTAACGGACCATTCTTTAAAGAACCGGAATTGTTGTACCGTTTTTTGAATGACGAATTTGATACAAAATGTACTATTATTATATCTTGACAACGAGATTAGCCGCACGATCATGTACACTTTACAAAGAATTTCCTTTTATTGTAGCTTCTTTGTTTATTGGTGCTAAAACGCAAAGTGTAGTAGAATCAGATGCACACGAACATTAACTGCATGAATGGCGAAAAAGAAAAGATAGGAAACTTTGAAAAGAAATACCAAGTTTCATATTTGGACAAGAAACGAGTGGTGAAATTCCCTAATCTGAACCCTTCGTCTGACAATTAATTTTAAATGACAAATATAGAACACAAAAATTAATTCAATCAAAACAATCTCTGTCGTGTGGAAATTGATAATTGATTTTAGATTATATAATTTATACAATAAAAGTAACGTCAAACCCGTAATGCACGCTTTTTAGTTTCTTGCGATGCGAGTATTGTAAACTGAGCCGCGGCATTGCGTATGACCAACATTGTCTAGGAAAGTTACACAAGTAGCCCACATATCCGTCGGCGCAGGAATGCGGAATGACTCGTACTTTAGAAACGAATGGCAATTAACATAGTAATAGCAAATTTATCATTGGGCATTTTGTCAGACTATGAAAAACTTTACAAAAAGTGGCAAATGGTTCAATCAACGTTGGGAGAGAGCCAAACAACTGAATATTTCCTGCCCACACGCTGGTGCTGTGCGCAAGATGTCAATTTAAATTGATATCGATATTCAACAGGCGACTTTGGCAATTGAGGATGTGCTGCCAGAAATTCTGCTTAGGTAAGCCTACTACTACCGCAAGAAATGAGACTAGTGTAATAGTAAACAATTATTTGAACTATCACTATTTTATAGACTTATCTACGCAGGAAGAGTGGATTATCATTCAAGTGAAGTCAAGACTGTTTGGTCTTGCAAATTGGATTGGATTATCTTGCTATTACAATTGGATCAATTACAAAAGAATGGATGATGCACAACATTCTTATTCTTGCAATTCACAAATGTGCCTCATCCTTAAGTTTATGAACAACATTATAATTATGATATCATCACTGGAGATTAATTCCAATCTGACAATTTAGTGGATCTACCAAAAGAGAACCTTGATTACTCTTCTGAAAATGATGAGCTTAATATAGAAGAAATTGATATTAATATTTGGACATCAGTACTGCAATGGGTGCTTTAGCAAGTGCCAGGACTCAACTATCTGAAAAGGGAGCTGTGGTTTCTTCTACTGTTGCTAATACAATGACGAAACTAAGCTTTACTACTCACGACACTTGTGCCGATCGGCATTGAGAATTTGGAGAATATTAATTATCATATCCAAAAATTGAATCCTAGACGCTTATTCACTCGAATAAATCGTATTCCCCTCCGATGGGAGTACCTATAGCTTGTATTTATTTACCAAAATGCATTGCCGCTTAAAAAAAACGAATATTCCCAACCGATATAAAAGTTAGTAATTCACAACTATATGATAACAAATAATTTACCCTATAAAGAACTATCATTTATAGAATTCAAGATAAACATGAAACTATATGAACTGTAAATTGTTTGTACGATATCGACTGTCGTGCGTGCAATTGCCATTCATAGTAATAGGTGGAAGTGATAGTCGATCCTGTTGCTGTCGGAGTTACGCAAGATATATTCATCGGTTAACCAAATGTGCTATTCATTTAGAATAATATCATGCAATGTATAGAATGTTGTTGTTTAGAATTGGAAATGCATCCAATCCATTGCACTATACACACAACTGTACTAGCTACAATATTTGTCTTGTATAATGAAACAGTTGATTACGATGAACAACTAACAATTCAGACTTTGGTGACAGAATTGTTTACAGTAAGAAGTATGTAACACTCTAGGTGTATAATTGATAATTGAATTCTATCAAAAACTAGCACTTTGCGCATTTATCAAAAACGTTGATTCATCCTATTATTACAGTATTATGGTTATGACGAAAAATGTGGTTACGTCATCTCTAAGTTACACAAATTGTTACACTGACTGATAAGACTTATCCGCCGACGGGATGTTTGTTAACTTGTACTTTGGAGATGAATGACATAATTAAAGTAGCCGATTTATCTTCAGGTCTTTCGTCAGATTTTGAAAAACTTTACGACAGTGGCAAATATACTGACATTTCAATTAATGTTGGAAGAGAGCCAAACAACAAAATATTTCTTGCCCATACGGTGGTTTTGTGCACAAGATGCGAATACTTTGAAACTAAATTGACTGGAAATACGGAATCATCCAGCGATATCCAACAAACGCCCATGGTATTTGAGGATGTCATGCCCGAATCTTTTGAAATTTTGCTTAGGTATGTTTTGTTATAAGCGGCGATTGTCGATTCCGTTATAGACAAACAGAAGCACTTACTCGAACTATTTATTGTAAATGAAGGTTTCTTTACACAGGCAGGTTGAATTATCGTTCAAGTGAAATCTTGGATTGGATTGGCCTTCTGAATGTCACCTGCAGATTTGGGTTGGACGGTCTTGTCACTGCAGTCGGAGATTTTCTTATCAATCACCAGAAGGAATGGATACAACGCAACGTTCTCGAAGTCCAGAAATGTGCCTCATTTTCAAGCTCGTTGAACCAACTTTTGGATTATTGCAATAACCTTATGATATTATCACCAGAGATTGTCTTCAAGTCTGACAGTTTAGTGAATTTACCAAAAGAGACCTTGATTGCTCTTCTCAAAAACGATGAGCTAAACATGGAAGAAATTGACGTTTGGACATCAGTAATGCAATGGGCTACCAAACAAGTTCCTGGACTCATAAATGAACCAACTGGTTGGTCATCTGAAGATTTTACAAAAGTCAGGACAACTATATCTGACTGCATTCCTCATATAAGACTGTTCAACATTTCACCTGAAGATTTTCGTAAACGAGTTATTCCATATGATGAGTTATTAACCAAAGAGTTACGACATGATGTGCTTAGTTCTTATCTTGATAAAGACTACAAACCAAAAGTTTCAGTTTTACCGCCAAGGAAAGGGCAAGCAACTCACAAGAATGTACCCAACATAAATGTTTCTGATAAAGAGCACAAACGCCTTGACATTAACCGTGGTATTAGTATAGACTCTGTAATTATTAATGGACAACAAGCAGCATGGATATCACAGAAGATTATGGAATCAAGCAAGTCAAATGGAAAAAGAATATTCAGAATGACTATGAATAACAGTTTTTTTAATATTAAGTTTACCCTACTTTATAGACATAGCAGGGATGGTGGTGCTTTTGAAAATTTTCGACAAATGTGTGCTGAGAAAGGGCCTACAGTAGCTGTTGGGAAAGTATTGGATACTGATGAAATTCTTGGTGGATATAATCCAATAGCCTGGAAATCTATGTCTGATGTTCCACCTTCTCGTTTATTTTTGGGTTTCAGTACAGTTTCAACTACAGAAAGTTTTATATTTTCATTAGATAAAGATAAAATTGAAAATAGCATAATGAGCCCTATTGTCAATAATGAGCATGCAATTCGGGAAAGTAAGTTTTATTATCCTTGTTTTGGTAGGAGTGATTTGCTTTTTGGCGGTGATATTGTGATGCCTTGTGCTAGAAAAAAAAATTACAAAACTGCCATAGGGTCTTCAAATTCATTTAAATGGGCAGATTGGGAAGTATTTCTGGTGACTAAAATTAATTAATACTTCGGACTTGTTCACATTATATGTGCAAGCTTAGGCTGGGATACTGATTGTGTTGATGTTTAATTGACTTTTACAAATACATGATTTTCTGATTATGTAATATATTATGTTTCTATCAGCTTCTTAAGTTAAATGCATAGACCAGTGCCGAATAAAGATTATGTGGTTGGCGCTGAAAGTTCGTGGTTTGAATCAGTTCAACATACAGCTTTTTAAATAATTAATTATAATTGGTTGTTAAACACGAAAGAGAAAGAAATATGTGAAGCGCTCGCATTCTAACAAAATTTTTCCACGCAATATGTACTGCATGGCATGTATTAAGTAAATTTCTCCCCTAAACCGAGTCAGTTTAGATCAGACGATTGGCCGGTTTATCAAGAATTATGTTATTTTGTCTAAATAATTATTGTAACCCGGTTCGATAAATTTTGGGTGCTTTCTAATGTCATAATACTGTATATTTGCAAAACCGATAGACCTTCATTTGTAATTGAGTTGAATCAATATTGCCGTCCATTCGATTGAGAATTTATCATTCTAATACATGTTTAACGATTACAATTTGTGTTTAACGATGACATTTACTAATTGTGAATAAAAATTTCTCGCGGTAGAAGTTGTAGTTTTGACAGTTTTAAGGACGTATGCTAATACCTGCTTTTTTTTTGACAACGCATTGTTTTATACAGCTTTATATTTTAAATCACATGATTAGCACCTGTTACGTCACAGACTATGTGAAAATCAGTCTTTAAATTTATCAAAGTTAGTCGACTCTTGTCCTTCCTTTCTGCCAACATCGTCGAATCATATATACAATATGGTGAGTAGCGATATCGCTCTCGGCAGCTGGAATCACGAATGAAAATCACGCAGACGAGAAAAAACGTGATGTTATAAAGTCAAGTTTAATGCGATGGATGAATGTCATTTGGAAAAAGTTTGATAGAACGAAAGCATAGAATAGATAGATTTACTTGCATTGTGCAATTACTAAGCAGTTCTGCAACTAATTTTTTAGTCCCTCGTCGTTCCGGATCAGAGCCAGTTCCAACACATTCTTCGTCTGTTAAATACCAATGTCGAGTGAGTGCTTTTCGTTTATAGTTCATTATTGTAATTTGTCGAAATTTTCTTCTTCTGACAGTCGAAAAACAAAAACACCAATTTGCTCCATCGCAGCGGTAAAACCAAAGTCATGTTTGCCCTAACGGCAATAAAAGGTGTTGGTCGCCGATACTCTAACCTAGTATGCAAGAAAGCCGACGTCGATCTACGTAAGCGAGCTGGTGAATTAACCAACGAAGAACTTGCACGAATTGTCAACATCGTTCAAAATCCAACTCAATTCAAGATCCCGAACTGGTTCCTCAATCGACAAAAGGATATCGTTGATGGTAAATACTCACAGATCTTGGCCAACAATTTGGAATCCAAACTGCGTGAGGATTTGGAGAGATTAAAAAAGATCAGAGCACATCGTGGGTTGAGACATTTCTGGGGTTTGCGTGTGCGTGGTCAGCATACTAAAACTACAGGCAGAAGAGGAAGAACTGTGGGTGTGTCGAAGAAGAAAGGTTAGTATCGTGGTTGGATGGAAGAGGGAATGTGGTTTGTTTGGAAAGGCAGAGTAGTGGTAGTGGGAGAGAAATAATGGTATGACGAATATACAAATTTTCCTTATCTACATTGACCGAAAACACAATTGTGTGGAGAATGACATTCTGACCAATACTGAATATTTTTCGAACGTGGATTATATATGTATAGATATCGTTGTATTGGTCGTTCTAACAATTGTTTGTCTTCTTTACCAACACAGGTTAATCACCGTTCACAACTAAAAGGAGGGACTGATCCTAGCGATTATGTGATAAAGGTTGACCGGAATGAAGTCATATTCCGATACACAAGTATGATTCTAGCGTGTATTCTTGTTCGTGCAGTCGAGTATGCCAAAAATTGGGTTTCGTTGATAATAAATAATTGTTACGATCGTATCATTTTATTTTAAGTAAAGGGCAAAAAAATTTTTTCTTGAAAATAGTCTTGTTTCTATTAATATAAAGATGCGTTATTCGGACAATAGAGCGACTTTATACATGAATCTCTTATAACTTGTCTACATGCGTATGTATTGGTTGCCACTTGTCAAAGCCTGTTTGGAGGCCCCGCCTCTGATCGTCAAGCCGACATCTTCCTTATCTTATCGCTTTTTGCTTATATGCCATACATTTCTCTAGCATTTTCTCTTGCGGCCTTCATAACATCGTCTACATTAATTCCTCTAAGCTGCGCAATTTTCTCGGCAACCAAAGGAATCATTCCTGAATGGCTTACGGTAATCTTTTCATGCGTTCTCCTGTTCCTGTTTAATTTCGCTGGTATCATATATGGTGCATCGGTTTCAAGGAGAAAGCGATTTAGAGGAACGACAGAGCGAACTATTTGTTGGGTATTTTTGGCTGATGAATATGTTACGACGCCTTTGGGAACGAAAGGGGAAAGAGTTTGAACACCATATTATTTGTAAACCATTTTGACAACGCAACCATCAATAACGACAATGTCTTTTTCCCTCCACTTCACACCATCGCTCCGCCACACCTTCCCCTTCCGCTTACTGACCTGTGATTCCGAGAAACAGATTAGGAAAATACTCGAGAAGTTTCGTGGCAAACTCTGGTGAATCAGTAAAACAATGTACATGCACTTTCCACTCTTTGGGCACGTGTTCTCTCATAATGTCCCAAGTATCCTGCTCAGCCTCTCTTGTATGTATAACCAAAGGCTTCTTGAAATCAATCGCTTTTTTGATCTGCCTAATGAACACTTGTCTCTGCACATCTCTAGGTGAGTTATCGTAATGATAGTCTAAGCCAATCTCACCTAAAGCAACCGTCTTCTCATGAAGTAATACCTCAACCATCTGCGCTTCGATCTGGTCGTCATATAAACGCGCACTATGGGGATGAACGCCTGCTGTCAAGTAGACATAAGGTGTGGCTGCCATGACACGCCAATCACGAAAAGTGCCCGGATATATATCAGGATAAAAATTTTCTACTTCACAGAGGACGTTTATAACGTACTCCAAGTTTTTCGGAAAATGATGCTCTTTTAAAGCTTCAAAGGATGTCAATCCAAGGGAATCAGATATTTTCTCTAAGACGTAATGGAGGTGGGTATGTGTGTCAACGAATGGCTCGGCAGATACGTTAGAAAGAAGAGATACCGGTGGAAGAATTACCACTCGACTCCTCCGTGATCCGACTGCGGTGTTTGATTGAACTGCGTTTGACATTATGGCAGCGGGAAAAGGTTGATAGAGTCTATGGGAGGATAATTGTGTGATAATTCGGAACGAGCTTGGCTGCAGACGAGCGAGACTGTGTGGAATGCGAAACATTGTTTAAAACGGTATTACGATCATGCAAAAAAAAAAAAAGGTCTTTGAAATCAGTAGACATTTGAACCTTACCAGGACTTGGGATTATTGAACGAAAATTATTTATTTACTATTTATTAGTCTTTTCCATTGTGCACGTGCTTGGCGCAGAGTGAGAATTTTTTGGCGCAGGATGATAATTTACACTGTACACCGAATAAAGTTAAATGCTTTGGGGCGCAGAATATATTTGAAACTTAAATCTATGCACCGAATTGGACAGGCTTTGATTAAGTGCTTTTTGCGCAGTACTTTTTTGTAAACTATTACACCTGTTCTCTGTTTATATCAAACGGCGTATAGTCATTTTACCGGTGCTTTTTATATATCTGGATAACGTGATTATTGCGTGGGCGAAGCAGAGCGGTGGCTAAATTAGATTCTTTCTGAAAATACGGTTGGGTAACAATTGTGCTTATTGTTATAAATGATAAAAATTGAGAGAGCTAATTCGACATGCTATTGTGTCACATGCGCGCTAACAGTGTTTTTGAGAATACATTACTACATGATTTTGCAATAAACAGCAAACCGGTCTACAAAAGAAACTTATCTATGTCATTATAGAAAGGTGTTTAACATCAGTTCCACGACTAAAAAGGCCACGATTAATAACACGATATGATAAAAATTAGCTTGTCGATTTTGATGCTTCAAAAGTAGGCAAGCAAAGTTTAACGATAATAATTCTACTTTACTTATATTGACCACAACAAATAAAGGAATAATTATGCATGTCACTATAGCCAATAGTTAATCAATTTTAAATATATTTTGGTGTATAGAATTTCAAAAAGTGTGAGCCTTTACACTGAAATTATAAATTCCATTCAAGCTTTCATTGAGCCAAAACGAAATATTTCATTAATGAGTATCAGGGTCTGTCTATATTTTATGAGGAAAAAGCTCTCTAACCTGAGACGTGGCAAATGTCCAGATTTATTAAATTAAGTTGCCAATCAGAGGTAAATATTAGTTATAAATTTTGATCAAACTTAAACATGAAATATTCAAATTGACATAAATTCCCACCGTAATAGTAAATAGCTTGTACTAAGTACGTTGGAAAACGTTTTATAAACGAGTCAGAGAAGAAGCAATGTTGCAACCTGTTTTCAGACGTCAATCAACAAAGTTATTGAAATCGCGCTTACAATAATTGAGTTTTGGTTGCATTTATACGAAATGCGAATCAAACTCAACAGATGTGCTCAGGGTTAGTCTTTTACAACAGCAAGTCAAAGACTGTAAAAAACCATTTGTTAGTGCGTCTCTCGACTAGTGGCGGAGACCGTGTTCGTATCTCCAATTTGTCTCTATCATTACTGTAAGCGATTTTAACATGTGGAACTTTGACCCAAAATTTTTTTCTTTACAATATAACATTAACGTGGGTCGATCCGACTGGGCTTTGCTGTTCACAGGCAATAAATTGCGTCGATGCGGACTGTTAGCAATTAATGTGTCAAATAATAAATATAACGTGTAAAGCCGGTTCTATTTGAAATAGTATTCAAAATTGCTGGCGTAATAATAAGTTAACATGTCAATTGCTTTTGGTTAAATCAATTATACAATCAATGAACTGAAATATTACATACACAACGAAGCGTTAGCTGCTGGAAGATGAAGGCACTAATATAATTATTTATTAATAACTGAGTATAATTAGCAAAATCTATAATAGAGTGGCATTATAAGTGTCCAAATGTCGAATGTTCGGTTATAAATGTCAATAAAAACCAATCATTACTGTATTATTACACGTTAATTATTATAATAGATCAATGTTCATGATTTCCTCGTAATAAGAACTCCTTTTCCTTGCAACTATTACAAACCCATCTCCGACGTCCATTATTCATGGTAATACCACTCAATCCACCATATTCACGCGAAGGATCATTCTTATCCAAGAACGCTTCAAATTCACGCAGTGCAGGACCCTGCGCATATCTCATGCGCTCGAGTGGATCATTTTTGCCTGCCAGATCTTTTGCAAAAGACTCATCCGTTTTGAATTCGCTAATAAACTCGCTTACGCTTTTGAAGTATTCCCTACAGTTAAGCGTCATATTGGCTTTGCCTGGTATATCATACGCCAATTGCAGCCCTGGAAAGAGGCCTATGAGATTGGCCAAGATATTAAGGTATGGCCCAGCCTTGACAAGAAACTGTTCCGCATGATATAACTGTAATAAAGATATCATTATTATTAATAAGACGTGAATTATATTGAGTACATCGCATTTGACGACAAAATATACCTCGTAACCACGATGGCCAGTGAAGTGGGCTTCCCTATTGTTATCGGCAAGACCTTCACAAAGAATGTGAACTACAAATTTTTTCCTTCCCCAAGTGTGTGGCTTAAAAATTTTCCAAAACACATTCCCTGGCAATAACATGAATAGTCGGGGCACCCTCGCACCTGTAGTATCAGATATACAATTCCGAACCACACTGAATTGCGACAATAACGTATTAGTAGCCTCTTGCATGCAGGAAACAACAATGTTCGTATTTTGGTTTGCGTTGTTAATGATCTCCTCGGTGACTCCCGCTCGCAAATTGTGTAACTTTAAGTTAATACAAAACAACAAAGCATGAGGTTAATGTTTGCACGCTGCGACAACGAATAACAGTAATCAATAATAGAACTGATTATACATACCTGAACACTATCAGCACCACCATTAAAATATGCCCCTCTTAAAATTTCCTCAATTGAAGCTCTCTTTATAGGATTGATGGCTAACAATTTCTTGAGCACGTGTTGTGCTTGAACATCCGATACGTTTTTAGAGGGAAATTCAAAGTGTTGCATGCAACTTGTGTCAAGTAATGCACGTTTAGTCTCATCATCACTCATGAACAGAGGCTTTCCGGCAAACAATTCATATATCGTACACCCAAATGACCACATGTCCATCGAAGTATCTGCTTTAATACTAGTACGCAGTGTGCTCGCTTTGATTAGTTCAGCTATATTAAGAGGAAAAAAACGTTAGTATGCTATGGAATTAAAAATTCTTTCAAAGGCCTGATAGTATTTACAGGAACTGCTCAATGTGCATTACTTACGCGGAGCATATCTTAATGTGCTGCTACTAACGTCTTCTTCTCCATCGACTCTCGCTGACTCAAAATCGATCAATCTCCACTTGTTCTCACTTCCAACCTCGCGTACAAAGTTTCCCGGTTGGATGTCCAGGTGCACTATTCCCTTGTCATGAACATATTTTATCGCTTCAGCTAATGAATATACTATCACTTTTATGTCTAACTTGTTAATGACATCCCGTTTTTTACGAATAAAGACATCCAAGCTCATAAGATAATAGTCCGTAATCATAGCATATTTCCAATCAACAGCATTGGAAACGTGGAA